TTGAAAGTCTTTAAAATGTTGTGATTAATTGTAAATAAATAAAAAATTTGAATTCTGAATTAAAGTGAAGTCTTAGTGTTGAAAGAAAGAATGGAAGACAGAGGAGCAAATAAGAAGGGAAGGTAAGAATTGAAAAACGTAACACAACAGACATTCTGCAGACTTACCAAGCAACAGAAAACCAACCAATAACCTTCCAATGACATCCTCATTCTGATTCATTTCATCATGTGAACACTGACTATTTCTGTCACAGTATCATATTGACTTCATTTCCTATTGGGGGAATGAGAAGCGACTTCCTCATCTCTCTCCTTCCCTATAGAGAGAGAGAAATCGATTGCAGGAGGAATGAGATGGAATAGATGATATGCATCAACTAAATTTAACCCTCTCCTCACCACATCCTCAAATTGTTTTCGGACTTGTATGTTTCAAGCAAATTCAGTGGTTTATGAAGCATTTGAGGTGCGTAAAATGACCCCAGAATGCCATTCCCACCCTGACGCCTTCTTCGTTGGTACAACTGGAATGTGAGTTCATTGAGTTTATCATCGAGATCATTGCAGCAGTGCAAACGTGCTGCTAATGGTCTGTTTGAAAACTCTTTGGATGATGAGAGTGAATAAAAAAAAAAACTAATTCAACTGTCAGTAATAATAATGGTGAACCTTTTAGAAGAACTCTTTTTAAAGAAGTCTTAATGTACTGATTGCATCATTGGATGACATTTGTATGACAATATTTTCAGTGTTTCTGCATTCTTTACATTAATAATTGCAAATCATTATATTTATCACACTGACGATCAATTTCCAAAGCACAAGATCACCACAGTGTTTTTCCTGTCTTTTAGGCAGCCATTAGTATCCAGTCCTTCATCTTACATGGGTAGAAACATGCATTGTGCAAAACGGCTTTGCACAATGGTAACAGAACTTAGATCGACATGTAATTTCAGGGTAAACACAGATGTAATTGATAAACCTGATCCCTTTCTATTTAGTGTCAAAGCAGTGGGCCAGCATGCACAATACCAGGGCCCCAGCCCACCTAAATGGAACAGGGCCATAATTATTTTTTTTCAATCTCACCTGTTTTTACCCTGCAATTACATGTCAAAATGGGCCTATTGGTGCCTCTTTCCTGACATGTTTGTGGAGAAGAGATTGAGCCAAAAGGAAGGAAAGGAGATAAATGATGGGAGCGGTCTCCTCTGTTGCTATGTCTGGACATGGCCAGTGAAAGTGCCGCCTATCAATCACTCAATCAACTGTTCACAGCTGACCAATAGGGTGTCCCTGCCCCCGAGCCTGTTGCTTTGAGTGAAGTGGAGAGCTGGCACGTTGCTTCATTTTAATCTCCATAAGTATTCGCATCAATGAGTCATTCTGTTAAGGAGATCGATTCTGGTGTTGCAGGTTTCCTGAGCAGCCTCTCAGGACTCTCTGCTGGAGCAAGAAACTGCTCGCTGGATGAGAAATGTTGAATTCCACATTTCATAAGCCATCAGGCATGATCGCAGATTGAACAGAGACCGCTTGGAGCCCTGCCACTACAGTCTGGTACTGTAGAAATGACAAATGTTAGTGGTTATTTTATTGCCTCCAAGGGCCAATTTCTAAGTGTCTTTTGCTTACTGTGGTCAGCCAAGTCTGGCAGGCCCCTGCCTTGTTTAAAGCCACCAGGCCAAAATATATTTACAGGGGACTAGAATCTTGGACCAATAGGAGCGAGGCATCACATTAAATAAGATGTTACATTCAAAGACCTTTCATTCCTGCACACTAGTGTGATCCATAGTTTTCTTTCTTATAGTGCCAGTTCTCCCAAATTACATGTGCAGATGATAAATCACAGATGAAATGATGTCCAAGTTATGATGAGAATATAAGTACAACAGTACAGTACTAACTGGCTCTAAAAGTAAGCTAAGATCAATGTGTTTGGAGCATTTAGCAGATAAAAAAGCCACTTACTTCCCTCAGGAACAGGTGGAGAGGAAAACTGAGCAAAAAGTAGAGTGAAGACTGAACTTCCATGTATCAGGTGGCCAACAACAAGACTCCAAATGAATGTTAATGATGGCTGTTATCTGCCGGATGTGTAAATAAGAAACTGTTTGCCAACAAGTTAGCCTAACCACTCTAAAAGGTGATAATGTTCCCAAAGGACAAGAATGAATGTCTTGACATAATGCACAGATCTCTTTGTCAAACAGCAACAGACTGAGAATGAAAACCGGCTCCGGACTTTTGATCTGCATGACGTAACATAACACATCTCACACACACGGCAAAGATGGCGGAGCCCCTATAATTAAACGAGTGCTTTTGTCACCACGTTGTTGTACATACACTGAAGAGTTCACGTTAGACAGCATCAGCATTATTAACCAACAGGTGTATGATCCAACAAGCGTTTCTCAGTAGCTCTTAGAGTATGGAGAGGGCTTGGTAGAAAGCCAATAGCCAACTACTTTTGGCACTTAGCTGTGTTGTCCCTGAGTGCTACTTCCCATTTGCATTGCTTTGAATGAATTCAGCGTTGTTACATTTAAGTGTCTCAGTTCTTTAACTCTGTAATGTCTTGGAGGAAAGCTTCGTTCTGCAGTGTCTACAGAATTATGTTTTTGTCCATTTTCTGCTCTCTTCAAACCTGCCTCTGCTGACAAGAGTGCATTATATATTTCGGGGATGTGGATCCATTGTCACTGTTGTGTACCATCCGGGCTGCCTCTGCTCTGTCCTGTGTCCTGTGGAGCTGTGTTTTGTGTTTCGTGCGAATGTTCCCATGATGTGTACGTGTGGAATTCCTGATGCCTTCAGGTGCCGTTGGGTTTACTGTGATCCAGGGCACAGTCAATTTCAACAACCCACGATGCATATTCATAAGTTTGCAGGTGGACATTTTCTGGAAGCCCTGAGTTCATGAGTTGTGATGTGTGCTGGTGGTTCAAAAAGTATTGAGCCCATGGAAGTTGATTTTTATTTATCTTTTTATTCATTTCTTCTGTTGTTTGTTTTCTTGTTCCTGGTATAACCCTGTTAAGTGTTGTTAATGTTGGAAACACAATCACTTGACAGTTTTGAAATGTTAATTGTTAAATGTTACAGGCCATGCCTGTTTGCTTGTTTTCTTTAGCCCTGTTTGCTCTGGACTAAACACAAAGTATGATCGAAAGAGTAAAAAGTCTTTGAAAATAAAAACTAATGGCATTATTTGTAATATGTGAAAGCTGAAAGAAGCTTAGAGGAGAATTGTTTTTCTCTCCATCTATCTTTTTTAACTGCAGCGGCACTTTGTCTCTTTGCTCTGCGCTGAGAAAGACACTGCACAGTAGACATGCAGCGCTGAAGTTAGCTGGCAGGGTTTATTCATCTCTATAAAGTCTGGCCTCAGAGGGAGACACTTGGCATTGGAACAGAGAGTGGACCTTTTCCCAGTGGCTGAGGGGGTGGGACGCAGCTTGGAGGCTGTTATCTGACCGACTTTGTTGTTATTGTTGTATGGGATGGATTTAATGCCCTCTTCACACTTTAATTTTCTCAAACTCTCCCTTTCCCTCAAACGTGTTTTGTTACACAGCTAAATGTGTTCTACTCTTGGTGTTAATGCTGCTGTTGTGGTTGTTGCAGCTGCTTTGACTGATATTGATGCTTTAGGCAAGTCAAATTTAATATGACAAAAGGTGACAGTCTTTCAGGCTGTAGAAAAGGATAATCACTTGTTTATTGGCCTCAATGAACCACATTTTATTTCAATGTTGCAGCACATTTTTTGACATATTCTGCTTAATACCAGACAAATGAAGAAATGGATCTAAAAACACAACCTTCAGCTAATTATTATTTATTTTGGATATGTGACCTACTTTACCTAAATTGAATATGCAATATATATGTATTGATTTAGCTTTTCTGCCAATATGTCAGTTCTCCTGGAACATAATTTAATTAATCTCCTGTATCTATAATATAATGCACACAGAGCTAGTGGCCCGTCAAGATGTAGTCAACCACCAGTAAATCAAAATCAACAAATAGCCTAAACGTTTTCCGGAGTGCTACTGTGCACCACCAGGAGGAAGTCATTCTGGATAAATCGTGAGTAACAGCGGGTGCGTAAAACCGTGGAGTGTTTTCTGACACGTGATGCTCCGGTGCAGTCGGTCCTGACGCCCCGGCGCGCTCACGACGCTCGTCGTGCCCTTCTTCGTGTGAAAAAGCGCCACATGAATGCGCACGTACAGCCGCTGTAGCTCTCTCCCTTTACTCCTTCACTCCCCGCTTCTCGTCTTCTCAGCATCAGCAGCCTCGACAGCCGGAAAGCGCGCGCCCGCGTCTGTGGTTGCGCAATTCTGCTCTTCAAGCAGCTGTTTGTAAATCCAGTAATTTCATCAAAGATAGTGGGGATAGTGTTTTGGTCTTTGCCATTGACAGTGCATTTCTGGCAAATCAACATTACTTTTTAAGACAAACATGCACATTTTCACATCATGCATTCAGCTGAAAATTCATATAATTCCATTCTGTAAGCACACTTTGTTATTTTTAGTCTCGTGGCTGATTGGTAACATAGTTTAACTTTATTGCTTCATCCAGGAATGAAATCAGTTAACTTGTTTTACGTGACAGCATCAATCTGAATGTGGAGAAGAAGCTGCAGTTAAAAAACCCTCATACGATTTATGAACAGAGGGCAAGGTAGTGTTCAGGGATGAAACAACCAAAATGAATACCAGATACATATAACTGAGTTGTCTTTGTATTTGTGTGTCCCTTATGATGATCACCAACTGGAGGTCAGAGTGAACCCTTTTCATTTGTCTCCATGTTTCTTATTTGTATCTTTCTGCTGGTGCAACCCAAATTCGTCCACGGGGCTCATTTAACTTTGATCTAATCTAATCTAATCTCGGTTTCTCTCGCCTCTTGCGCTTTCATTTCCCCCCTCACAGTGGCCGTGGCTGCGCGGCGCACTCCCGTCATCGCGTCAGGAGGCAGCCCACTGGTCCCGATGATGATGATGATGATGGCGGTGATGGAGGAGCAACGCTGAGTTCACTCTCCCAGTTTTCGCTCCTCTTTTTTCCATTCATTCTTTTTATGGTTAGATTACAAAAGACAACGTATAGTGACACAGAGAGCGACACCGCCGATTTGACCTACTGCCTTTCTCCGCCTCTCTCCCGTCTCCTGAGCCGAGACCGAGATGGGGAACGAAGCGAGCATGGAGGGCGGCGGGCAGCCCGGCGAGCCGGGGACAGCCGGGATGACGGGGTCGGTGATTCCCGGAGGACCCGCAACAGGACCGGGGGCAGGACAGCACATGAAGCCGGTCAACGGAACCGCTGCCGGGGGAGGGATGGGGATCGGAGGCCCCGGGATGGGAATGACGAGGTACGGAGCAGCAGTATAGGGGAGGTCTCGGGTAAATGCGGCTGGGTGGAGGGCTTCTGGGTTTACTGAATCACAACCCAATGTGTGTGTGTTTTTAACACGGAAACGGTCGATGGACAAGAGACCAGGTGTCATTTGGTTCACATTTTTAGAGAGATGAGATTAAGAGTGTCACACATTGTTTCTCTCTTTCTCCCGCGCCAATCCCTGCATGCTGAAAAGCCCGAGAGCTGTCCGCGGTGCTGAAACGCAACCAGCCACACCGGTGAGCCCGAGCGGCTCGTTTTGAACGTGTTCCCTAAAATAGGTTTTGACATTGCATGTTAATGCGGCTCACAAGCACCGTGCCCCTGTGCTCCATGTTACGGGAATCATCAGCGAGCATCTCCGGCTGTTTGTTCGGTCTCAGATTGTGCTGTAATAGTATTTCCTCCTTCCGCCGGCTCGGGCTGTGCTTTTGGCGTATTTGTGTCGAACAGGACGTGTCTTCTCTCTAAAAAAACCCACACACAATCGAGCCGCTCGTTTTTCTCCGTTAACATTTTATTAAACGTGACCATTGGGACGTTTTTTTTTTTGTTTGTGTGGTTTGTGCTCGAGGGAGCGTCTTCACACACTCGCTTGTTTCCGCATGCAATAGAGGAGGATGCTGAATGTGTGTGTGCGCGCGTGTACGTTAAGGGGCTTGCCGGATATGTAGGCGCGTGTTTGATGATATGTGTGTAGCATACTATACCAGCAACGACAGCGTTTCTCGTTAATGACGTAGAAGCGTCTTGACATACGTTGCTTACCGACATAGCGTTCTGTACCGTACCATGTCAAACCAAACCCTACTGTGCCACATAATATAAAATAAATAAATATATATCCTCGCTTTCATACCGTGCTATTGCATCAACAGCACTATAACATACATGTGATATCCCACTAAATCATGCCATTTCTTAAACATACAACCAGATATGTGTTCGATTGTATAACACAAAAAGGCCATTTTTGACATCTATATGTAACATTTTTTTTTGTCCTAATCCAAATATGTGCATCCCTGTTCTCTATGCAGTACTAAGACTGTCAGCCTTTTTTTCTTTTACCATACATATAACATGAACACCATGTGTGTCCTAAGATAGCTTCACATGACCTGACATAACATGTGCACAACAGCTGCACTGTAGACACAGGTCATTCTACACAGCTGTATATCAAAGGCCTCTATACAAACCTTTTTCACAAATGTTAGGATCCCTCTCACCCCTACAGCTTCAATCTTTGGCTTGGCTCAGCTAACACACAATGATCCAATCTTGTGTCGTTGCCGCAAGAATTCAGGAAACCCAGTTTACTGTACCGCCTCATCCATAAACTCTGCAGCCATGGCTGCTGTACAGAGACGCAATCAGGTAGACGTTTTGTAGAAAAAATGCCAGAGTAGGGCTACAGCTGGCCTACAAACACACCAGGGTGTGTGTGTGTGTGTGTGGTTATATTTAGGACACATCCCAGGTTTGATTCATGCCTCTGTAGGAGAGAAGAGCAGAGCAGCACAGGCCTATCCATCATTACATAACGCGGGGACTCAGGGAGCAGGTGACAGCTTCAGCTCGCTTCCGATGAACGACAACAGAGCTGAAAAATGCATTATTTCTGCATTACTCTGTTTAGGGGATTCAAAGTGATCTCATTCTCTGTTGCTTTTATCAAATCTTCTATATAAGATGCACTAAATCTGCAGGTCTCTGCCCTCCTGCAACTTCAGACCTCAAAAATCGGCGCCCACATTTTAAAATCCGCTCCGAATAAAAGGCGCGGGTTTTCCGCGGCATGAAGTGCCTCACATTAAGTATTTATAACAGCGTAATACAAGGCCATGTGAACAGATTGACTCACGTGCAGAGCGTGTTTGCTCACCCCCCCGCCCCTCTCACTCTCACTCTCACACACTCTCTCTCACACTCCCTCCCTCTTCTGCTCTGCTCTGCCTGACTGCCTGCTCCTATCACTCTCTCGCTCCCAATCTCCTCTGCACACTCGCATGCTTTGCTACTCTCTTCTCTCTTCTCCCCTTTTCTCTGTCTCTCTCTATATCCTGTCCACACTTGTAGTCAGTATATAGGAGAAAGGATGTCCTTCTCTCTCTCAATTCCCTTTTTTCAGTCTCCCTTTCTTCCTATCCTTCTCATTATTTTGCTTTTGTCTCTCCCTTTCCTATTTCACTCAATCCCTGCACATTTCCATGCTCCCTCGGTCTCTCTCCCTCTCTCTCCCTCTCTCTCTCCCTCTCTCTCCCTCTCTCTCTCTCTCTCTCTCTCTCTCTCTCTCTCTCTCTCTCCTTCTGCCACTCCCCCTCTAAATTAACATTCCACTCAGTTGTCATGTTGTGCTGTTTACAATATTAATGTAAAGCTGTAACCTAAAGGTACGCATGTTTTCTTTAAAGGTTAAGGCTGCCATTATTCAAATTTCTTATTGTCAATAAAACTTAATGGACGACTAAGCTTCCATGTCTGTGGCACTCAGTCCCAAACCCATTGGTTCCTACTGAACATGTATATGTTTACAAACGCATTACAAATTAATTGTTGCATTAAAAAGTCTCAGTAATGTTCTAAAACGGTTGGATTTCTGTACTTGTTAGCAAAAGTTATTCAAACAGGAGTAAAGAGTATTTTAGGGGACTATTTTCAGCTGCAGATGAATGCAAATGTGATACTCTTGTGTCTTTTTGAGGCAGCAAGATGCTGTTTATGGGACATCCATAAACATTATGTTTATGGATTGACTTCAAATAATGAATAGCAATGAAAGCACCCATTGCAGCGGTGTGGTCCCATTGATGTATTTTTTAAAGACATTTCTTGGACAACAATGGAGCTCTATGACAGTGAGGAATAAGATATATTAGGTTTTGGATACACAGTCAATACTTGTTAGTGGGCTCAATGGATTGCTGGTTTTGATCTTTTCATGAAATTTGTTCACAATAACAAAAATATAGAACATTGCCAGCTTTACATTTTAATATACAATAGATGTCAGCTTCATTTGTATGTGCTTCCCAAAACCATTATAAGTCACTGTTGAAAATTAAATAAATTTCATGATGTGACAATGTTTAGGTAGAAATATGACTTTGATGGATTAAAGGAAACATCCTGGTTTGGGTTAATATAACTACTTTGTTGAGGTTCACTCGCCTCACTTCCTCCTTTGTGCCCGTCATTATTATCACGGCCATGAAAGAGCTTTGTCACTTGAATGTAAACGTATTGTCGTTTTGGGGCATTTACTGAAACAGGTAATGTTGTCTCTCTTCTTGACAGTCTGTAAATATACTGTACATTCCATCCTTCTGGGAAAATCCCTCCCCCTCCATCTCTCTCTCTCCCTTCCCGCCCCCTTCTCAACCAATAACCAGCAGCATCTAAATAACTCTGCCTTTACAATGAGATACAACCGTAGTGCTATATAGGAGATAAGGAGAGAGAGAGAGAGAGAGAGAGAGAGAGAGAGAGATAGAGAGAGGGGGGGGGGAGATGGAGAGCTAGTGAGATAAAGGGGAAAGAGGAAGACAGAAAGAGAGAGGGCCGGAGGGGGTGTAGAAGCTGAAGGGACACAAGAAGGGGAAAGGGAGTGATGCGGTAGTGATAGATCAAAAGGTGTATAAAACTGTTACCTCCAGTCAGGGATCCTCCAGGAACAACCAGCAATATAAACGATGATACATTATATTGACAGGTGACTAAATCAGATTGTAAACCTGTCTCAAATTTTTTTTTCTTTTAATTTATAATTAGTTTTCAACATTCTTTTAATGTATTTAGCACATCATTATAGATGTTTTGTATAATACAATTGTATTTAATCGGCAAATTAATTTAAAATGACACGCAAATAAAGCACATTGAAATTTGAGAATAAATGAAAAGGGGGAGGAGAGTGTAAAATTGAAAAAGAGAGCACAGAGGAAATACACATGGAGGGCATTTGATGTACAGATGGATGGAGGCGAATTTAAGGCCAAAGAGAGAATGAGTGATAATGAAGCAATGTACACAGTTGTGTAAGGGAGGAAAGAATACAAAATAAATGCAAGATGCAAGATAGAGAGAAAGAGGAGAGGGGGATGGAGAGTACGGATATCCAGATGGCTAAAGATAAAGGAGGCAGAAAGGAGTGAGAGAGCATAGGAAAGACAAGAGAACGAGAGAGAGAGAGAGAGAGAGAGAGAGAGAGAGAGAGAACCTTAGATCTACAGCACATATGGAACAGGCGTTACATGTTCAGTTTACATCTGACACCACTCTCGCCATATTCGCAGACTTATTTGTCACATATAGACTGGGCTGTGTGTACATTTGTCTGTGTGTGTGTATGTTACACACACACTGTTGTTGTGTACATGATCAGCAACTGTGAAGAGTGGCTCGAGGACTCGCAAAAGTCAGCAGTCATCGCAATTTATTCACTGTACACACTTGTCAAGATGTGTGTGAGTGAGAAAGAGAGAGATTACTTGTGTGGGAGAGTGTGAATGTGTGTGTGTATGTTGGAGAGAGAAATGGAGTGTGTGAACATTGACTTTGTTGCCATATTTTTTTCTTTCTCTCACATGCTACACAGTTGGGACCAATTTTCCCTTTCCAGCGAGGCATGCATGTGGGATGTGTGTGTGTGTGTGTACATGAGTGCGTGCGCATGTTTTATGTGTTTAAGTTTGTTTTTCCACCTCTTGCAGAAAAGCAGCAGCCTGTCACTGCTGTGTTCATTGTGAACGTACAGTGCGACTGAATTTGTTATTGAGGCTTTTTATGCTGACGGTCCTGCTCAGAGTGACGTGAGGTTTTTTTTTTGTCTCACATCAGCAGAGAAATGAACGCTGATAGGATTCAGTTTCTGATCTGCTGAGTGGACTGGTTACCGGCCGTCCTTTAGCCTTTTTGTTGTTGAAATTTGATGGCGAGGTTGAAAGTTATGGGGTGTGATGTTGAGTAGAT